TGCATATAACAAGGAATTTGAGCTCAAGCAATCTGAATTGGAACCCATGGTATCCCTCAATTTACTTTGGCCATTGAGATTTTGAGGCATTATGTAATTAATGTCATTGTAACTGCTGAAAAATCTATTTGTACGCGCAATCATTCTACCTGCTACAATCACGCACAATTGAAAATCTTAACATGAAAAAAACAGCAGATAATTAAAGGGTCAAAATAAGAACTTCCGCTCTAAAACAATTCACTCTTCATTTAATTTTGAAGAAACTGTGATAAAAAGAAAAACATAAGCATATCCAAGAAGCTGCCATTGAGGAACCAAAATAAACAGCAACCATACGCACTATATACAATGTTACCATTACTATATATGTCATCAAATCATGTCAATCTTGTTTGCAATTACGGCCCCAATCTAGGGGAGAAAAGTTGACAAACAGATTTGCGGGACAAATAGTAATCTCTGTAAGGCTGAACAAAATTTACAAAAGATGCTCTGAGAATAACAAAGCCCTGAAAAGTTATCTTTTTTAACAGAACAGGGAATAAAATATGTAGTTAAAACACACAATACATATAAAATGTGCAATCTGTTAGTCCTCCAATTGAGCAAGGCTATGAAAGAGGCATTGGGCCTAAATGACTGTTTTCCTATAGGCCAGATAAATGAGGACTCAGAGAGAGAAGAAATTCCTCAGATGAGTCAATATATGGACAGGAAGTAGCCCATGATTGGCTTCAGGAAGAAATGATTGAGAGAAAATTAATTGGAAGAAGGGGAGGATGTTAAAGAAAATTTTGGGAAGGTTTGACTTTTGAAAGATATCTGGCTGTCTTAAATTGTTATGGAAACCAACGCTTTTCTTGGTTATTTTTTCTTTTCTTTTCTTCTGCAGAGTCTCACTTTTTTGGTTACTGAGGCTGATTGGCTGAACACTGCGTAACTCTGTTTTGCTCTTTCCCAGAGTGTTGGTCACCTCTCATAGTCCAAACAAGTAACTTCAAACTTGACATCAGACGCCATTATTGATCATTTAAACTGTATCATCGAAAATGTAAAAGAGGAGAACAGTAAATCATCATACTTGGTACTGAAAAAGGAGAACCAAGAGGAGTTGGAAATGCTCTCCCAGGTAACATTTCAGACTACAGCATCAAATGTCTCATCCTAACTTAAATCCTGGTCTTTCTCAAAGGAATTTTACAGGACATGCCTGTTTTTATGGCAGTTCCTGAAATCGGATCTGCAGTGCATTCACGAAAGCAATATTGGTAAGAACTCTGCAGCAGAGAGGCTTTAACATGATCATTTCTTTGCCCCACTTATTAGGTGTTGAATGAAACGCAGTCTAGCAAAAGAACCTTCATAAAGAAGGACAATATATGCTTAGTAGAGTGGGTGAATGCGAGGGTGATTACAGTGATGCTTTGCATCCCACTCCAGGGTCCAGGTATGGCCATTACGGTAAAAACAACCAAAAAGTTTACACAAGTCTTCCACACTTGAGAATATATAATACAGTTAAATATTAGCCAAAGCTAGGCGGGGTCCTGATGAATCACAACTTTCAGAGCATTTTGCCTTCATCAATGCGAATGATTTAGGCGGATGGAATGGTGCATCAGTTTCCAAGTAACAATGCTCGCTCAGCAGCCATTACGACACACAAAGTTGGAGAAGAAATTAAGAAGGCCAAGGCATGAGAAAGTCGATGATGGCTTCGAACCATGCGAATGCTGAACGCAATAAACCAGTACTTTCCCTTTCACTCACATGAGGAAGCACATATTTGGCGGGGAAACTACAAATATATCAGTCATTGCATACCAGAGAATCTCAAGTCTGTATCTTACTCATCATGATGGTTTTGTGTCCTTTTCTTTTAGGGCGAATGCACTGAATTTTAAATTTTCATTTTACGAATTGAAAGGAGAAGACTGGCATGATTGGTCAAACAAGGCGTCATCTTGAAAATGAAGATACTTAGAAAATTCAACTTATTGCATAAGGCTGTGGGCTGAGCAGAAGCATCTTGTGGAACAGACAACGCAGAAGGTGAGAGGAAAATAATTGATGTTTGGAGTGACATGTCGCAATATCATTACTTAACTCTACAAATGTCCGTTACTTGCTTGCTTTCTTTCTTTCTTCAGTCTTTCTTCTTTATGCAAAGCTTTTGAACTCATTCAAATTCCTCGGTACTTGATGATTCATTGAAAAGGAATCAGTTTGGATTGATCTTTTTCCCCTTTCCTCAATTGGGATTTTGCAGCAAAGATTTGGGATGAAAATCATGGTTACAACAGTGGTAATTTGAAATCCAAAGGGATGTGGGGAGAGAAGAGGAGAAGAAACCAAAAATAGGAAAGACACAATGCAGGGTTCAGGTGAGGATGAAGATGCATGAAATGTTGTCGGGAAAATGTCTGGTAAAAGCTGATTAAAAGACATCATTTCTTCTCATTATCAGCGTTGCTTTTGTCCGCTTTGTCTGCATCCATTATTTTAATCACCTAATATTGTTCTTCATTTTATTCCTTTTTTATATTCCTCCACCAATTCTCCTGTATAACTTTTCGATTTTTGTTTTCTACTTCCCAAATTACTCTCATTTTTGTGTGTGCGCACGTGTCTTTTGTTTTATTTATCATTCACGGAACGGACTATAGCATTTGGGGTTGTGTTTAAATATATGTAAATTATATGAATGTTGGGCAAAAATAATAAAGTATATAAATAGTTTCTTTGAGAACAAAAAATTGCGGCTTAATTTCTGTCTGGAGCAACGACAAATACCGACACAAATAATAAAAAAATAAAAAATAAAATAGATAGGAATTTGGAGTAATGGCTTTTTTAAAAAGAAAAAAAAATTCCGGACCCTTGGTTTCCAGAGAGATAATAAACAAAACTGGTACAAGTCTTGAGATCTAAGAAAAGCATCGAACATTTAAAAATTGTATTGAATGGTTTGCATCGTATTAATGCGTTACCGCGTGTACGTACACGTATAAATAATTTAACAATTTAGGAAAAATAAATAAATTGAACAACAGGAAGTGGGAAGCCTGATTCTGCTGATTACAAACTTGGTTAGATGGACTTAAAAATAGCTTTTCAAACATAATTTATAAAATATGAGATAAATATAATAGGAGAGTTTTGTTTCGAGTCATGTGAACTTACTTAAAAGTCTGTAACTCACAATCCCTGCGTGGGTATAGCCATAGACTGGTCTTTTGTTTTCCCCCTAGACTGGTCTTTTCACCGAAAAAAAGTTGACCATAACTTTCATAAAAATGACATATGCAAGTGCATAAAATTTCAAAAAAAAAAAAGAATATATATATATATATATATAACAATTTTGTGCTACATATATAACACCATAATGCAAGTGTATGTACATTGATGATACGACATAATTATATGACATGCATGAATGATATGTACATTATTTTTCTGATACAAATGAGTTGACATGTACCTATGAACATGAAGCGTGTATAGTATTATGTATCTGATGTAATTGGCACATCTACCCTTTTGATTCCGTGATGTGATTTATTGATACTCCATCCAAAAGCACATAAATGTGCGTGCATCCTAGAAATTAAACGTGGATTGTATTATTTGACAAATACTACCAAAGATAATTCGTGAGGCACTCAAAACCCAAATTGTAATTAATACTACCTCCAGTTTTTAATATAACGTAATGTTTAATTTTTATTTTGGTCCTAAATATAAGATCTCAATCCATTTTGTCTCTCATATTTATAAATTCTTTTTTTAAAGTAACCATTCTAACAATGATAGTTCTAGTTAATACATTTGATTAGCAATGATATTTTAGAAAAGACAATACCTATTTAGAACAAATAACTCACTTAATTTATTTCCTTAATCTCCTCAAATTAGTCAAATGACTCTTATAATTAGGACCGGAGGTAGTACAATATTTTGTTAAACTAAGCACTTCGTTACCTATTAAAACAAAAATATTAAGAATAAAATGCAACAAAATATAGACAATCCAATCCTTTTCACGAGTGATGTATTCTCCATATATATAACAATGTTGTGCTATACATACAACACTTATACAATGCAAGTGTAGTATATTGATGATACGACATAATTATATGACATGCGTGAATGATACATTATTTTTTTGATACAAATGAGTTGACATGCATCTATGAACATGAAACGTGTATAGTATTATGCATATGATAAAATTGGTACATCTACCCTTTTGATTCAGTGATGTGATTTATTGATACCAAAGATAATTCGTGCGGCACTCAAAACCCATATTGTAATTACTCATTTGATTTTTAATATAAGATCTATTTAACTAATTTGATTAAATTAAAGAAGTTAGGTAAATTAATTAATTATAAAAAATATGACATGTTTTTCTTAAAACACCATAATCATCTTTCTTAATATCTTTCTCCTCTTCTACTTAATTATGGTTGATAGAATATTCATAGGGGTAATTTAGAAAAAATTGATAAATATAAGAAGTGGGTCTTATATTTAGGATCAAAACTAACTCAACAATTGGGTTCTATATTAAGGACCGGAAGAATAATACAATATTTTGTTAAACTAAGCACTTCGTTACCTATTAAAACAAAAATATTAAGAATAAAATGCAACAAAATGTAGACAATCCATTCCAAATCAAAATAGAAACACGAGTGATGTATTCTCCAAATACACAGAGTGAACGAAGTGGCCGCATTCTTATCAAACTGAATAATGATTTTGAAGAAGACAATCAGTTATTCATTGAATAATGTATAGAAAACGATGTAGCGAGTTATAGCAGGCAAGTGATGATGTGGAATTGACAATTGGTTGGAAGGAGAAGGAGAAAAAGACAAAAATGAAAAGAAGGGGACAAGGGGACCTAGTTTCCATGTAGCTCCCCACAGCAACTGTTATATAAACGTACCTTCCGAATCCTCATGGAATGGCACTGCAACTTCAGCACCGCCCCCCGACCCAACTCCTCTTCCTCTTCCTCTTCCTCTTCACCCTCCCACCAAACAAACCCTGCTCTTCTCTCTCTTTCCTCAATGGCTTCTGCTTGTGTCAACAACAACGCCATGTCGCCCGATAACTTCCTCAATTCCCCTCCCCGCCCCTCCTTCCCCTGGCTGAGTCCCGCTAAATCTCAGCCATCCCACTTTCTAGATCCTCGTCATTCCCCCTCAGATTTCGAGTTCACTCTTCAAGATCCAGTCGCCATGCTTCCCGCCGACCAGCTCTTCTCCAATGGCAAGCTCGTTCCCCTTCATCTCACTTCCCTTCCACCTTCTTCCTCCGCCAAGTTCCCTTCGCCGGACACCGCCTCAGCCGCTCATGTCCCCGGGACCGACCCCTCCTTCTTCTCCCCCAAGGCTCCCAGGTGTTCCAGTCGCTGGAAAGAGCTTCTGGGCCTCAAGAGGTTGTGTCACACCACTAATGCAGCCGCCAAGAGCGACGCCCAGAGAACGACGTCGTCTTCTATCACCAACAAATCCCTCAGGCATTTTCTCCCCAGGACCTCCAAATCGTCGTCGTCGTCCTCCTCCTCTTACTTAGACACGTCCGTGAGTCTCCCGTTGCTGAAGGAGTCGGACTCCGAATCCGTTTCGATCTCCTCTCGTCACTCTCTCTCGTCTTCGTCTTCCGGCCATGAACACGAAGATCTGCCCAGGCTGTCGCTTGATTTGGACAAGCTCAACCAGAACGCGATTTCCCTCCATCGCAACCAGAATACGGCTCGCCCGAGAATGAGAATGGTGAAGCTGAGGCCAGGATCGCTCGACGGCAATAATCAGAGATCGCTAACTGACTATCCAACGGGTAGCCGGGGCGGGAGGAGTCCAGTCCGGCGGGCTCCGGGGGAATCCGGTGGGGTTGCAAGCAGGGGAGTGTCAGTGGACAGCCCCAGAATGAACTCTTCGGGGAAGATAGTGTTTCAGAGCTTGGAAAGGAGCTCGAGCAGCCCCAGCACGTTCAATGGCGGACCAAGGCATAAGCAGAGAGGAATGGAGCGATCGTACTCGGCCAATGTGAGGGTGACTCCGGTTCTGAACGTTCCGGTCTGTTCGCTGAGGGGCTCTTCAAAGTCGGGTTCGGTTTTTGGGTTCGGCCAACTGTTCTCTTCTCCGCAAAAGAAAGAAGGCGCAGGTCACGGGGGAAGCAGCGCCAGAGGCCACCAAAAACAGAGCCACGGTAGGAATCGCTGCGATCGAAACTAATAAGAAGCAAATGTCTCTTCGTGTTATTAATCTTGACTGAACATATTGCAGATCGGGATTAATTTGCTCTGCTTTAATTAACAAAAAAGTTCAGATATTGACATATTGTAAATATTCCGGTGGAATTTTTGTGTTCTTCACGCTCAGCTTCTGCTTCACTACTCTGTTATTTTCCGGCCAAAAATATATATATATGGAATCTCCATAATTTTGCTTCTATTAAGATTTTGTTTTCAGAAAATGTTGGGAAAAAAACATTTACATGTCGAGCTTATCATCTCTGTCTGCCATGCATAATATATACATGTGATGTTTCGGAAATGATGCTAAGATTCAGATACAGAAACGGGCGAATTCAATCCAGACCTTTTTGTCTTCCTTAAAAAAAATATCACTCTAAAAATTATAATTATTTTTAATTAATAAATATATCTTTTTTTAATAAGATTACATTATTAGATGATACTCCCTCCGTTATTTATTATAAGAGACATTTGATGCTTATATCATATTCCTATATATAAGAGACACTTAAAAGTTGTCTTTACTTTTTTGTGTTGATTTTCTATTTTATCCATATTTATTGTCTCCAACTCACACTCTCTCTCCCTCCCACTTCTCTTTCTTTTAATAATTTAATTGTTATCTCTCATGCTCTCTCTCCTTATTAATGAGGGCAATTTTGGAAAAAAGATTATACTTTTTACACATTGATTGTTCTTAACTAATTTTAACTGTTTTTTTTATCAACGTAATTCGGTTATTCGTCTCTTATAAAAAGGAACGGAGGGAGTAGTTTTGATGATGGTAACAAATAATTACGAATGACGCATGTGAAACGTGCAACTATTTTATTGGCACTGTTGGGATTTGAAGGCGCAATAGTGAAGTTAGGATCAGTAATAAATGACAATAAGTGAAATTAGCGTAAAAGATGAAGATGATATTGGGAGATTAGGTGGTCGGTGGTCCACACGGGAGGAGGGAGGAAGGAAGAAGTTTACATTTTGAGAGGATTGAAGTGAGAGGGACAGGCATTCATTCTGCATCAAAGTGTGTACTTTGAAGGGAGTTTAAGAGTACATTGTGGCGTGAACAAAGTCCCATAAGGGATTTGATTACCTATGGGGTTGGAAGGAAAATGATTTCACTTTCACTATTGATCTTGTCCAGAGATTTTGATGGACACATTTGGACATAATTGTGGTCTTCCTGCTGTTCAAATCCCATGATTGCCAGACAAGATTATGGGAAGCCTCACTAATGAGTCAGATATTATAGGCCCCCTCCCTTGTTTGTTTGCAAGTTTGTTAAATTCCATTTGCTTTATATTACTTTCGATCCCATTTATAAGAGCTAATTGACTAATTTGAAGAGATTAAGAAAAGAAGTTAAGTTAGTTATTTATAATAAATATGTGTTGTTTTTCCTAAAATATCTTTATTAATCAAGTGTATTGGTTAGAATTATTATTGTTAGAAGAACTATTTTAAAAAAAAAATACATAAATATGAGAGACAAGAATTGAGGTTTTATATTTAATACTAAAATAAAAATTAAACAAGGTTTTATATTAACAATAGGAAATAATATGTTGAAAGAAAATAGTACGTGGTAGGTCCTTGTGGGGTTCGTCCAATCACCATCCACCCTGCGGGCGCTATATTATTTTCACATCCTTCGAGCCTCAGTGTGTGACCGAGAATGATTATAAGTACTGCAGTATCATAGTTCTAATGTTTTAAATGGGGCCAGACACTTTGGCCAAAAAAAAAAAAAGGGCTAGACACAGAAAGTCTTGATTAATTCCACTAAATTTTTTTTGTTTGTTTGTTTGGGAAACAAGAATTCAATTTACCAACTCTTTCAAGTCAAAACTTTATGATTCATAACCATAGGCAATTAATTATCACAATGAATAACAGAATGGTGAGTAATGATTATACTATATGCATGATTGGCGACAAAAGTAGTGTCACGATTTTTTGTTAAATATCTCACCAGTATATGTACTCACCATGAATATGGGGCAAAATCTTTATTATATTATCTTAGGTCTTAATTATATAATTTTATTTATAGTTTACAAATAAAATCTTATAAATAATATACCTCCGGTCTTTAATATAAGACCCCGTTTGACTTTTTGCTTGGTCCTAATTATAAGACCCCAATCCATTTTTTCTCTCATATTTATGTATTTTTTTACAAGATAGTCCTTCTAATAATGATAGTTCTAGCTAATACACTTAATGAGCAAGGATATTTTAGGAATGACAACACTTATTTATTACAAATAAATAACTTAACATACTTTCTTAATCTCCTCAAATAAGTTAATTGGGTCTTATAATTAGGACCGGAGGTAGTATCTGGAGTAGTATTCCTGTAAAGTTGGCAAAAAAAAAAAATTATATAAACTGTGACAGGCTGAAAGATTGATGAAAGGTGATGGGTTGTGTGTTGCAAATGTGACTATGTGAGGAAAACCATGAAATAACGATAGAGGACGGGATTGAAGTATGTGGGTGGAGTGACTGATTAGAGATTGTGCAGAGAAGGCAGAGGTTTGGAAATCGAAGAAGAAAAGAAAGGGAGGCACAGCACTATTAAAATCAGTTATATACTGGGAAGTAGCATTTTGGGGTAGGGAAGGCCTAGCCCTGCCCTTGAGATTTTGAAAGGGGGAAGAGGAATCTCATGTTTGAAAGAGAAGCTGCCACTGCCATATATACACATACATATCACCAATATCAATATCACAGCCCTATGCTCTCCAGCTCCTGATTTAACGTTTCTCCTGCCATCTTTCCCCCTTCAATCTTTCACGTGACCGCACTTTCTTCTTCTTCATCATCATTTTGCCAAGAAAAAACATGATATGCCAAACACCATCCACTTGTTTAATCTTTTGTCATTTTGTACTTTGCCAATCAAATCACTACTTAAGCAAGTGATAAGATTAGATACTTACGTTAAAAACAACACGCCAACTTACTGTTCGGCTTGCATTTCATTTGAGGCACATACCACGTAATTGAAGTACTTTATTACTATTTTTTTTATAGGCGAGAGTAAGTCCAAGACCACCCAAATCTAATCATAAAATATTGTGCCCTTAAACTTAGCATTTAATGTTCGCACTTTAATGCATGGTGAGTGAGTTGTTTGACCAGTCCTTTTAGCTTAAGTGGGTCTTCCAACACTCACCCCTCTCTCTGCTCCCTTCTGCTTTGGCCCATCTTCCTCCCAACTCAACGGATACTTGAATTTATTATTCTGGATTCCCTCTGGATATCTTACCATTTTGATATACACTACCACACATATAAATAAACACACCGCTCTCAAATTTTAATCTTGTTTACTTGATCGAAATCACCATCTTGGATTCGCTTGCATTTATATAATGTCCGGAATACATGAAGATAATTCTAGTTTATTGTGGAAAGAGAGGGGTGTTTATTTTAAAGTACAAGTTGGAAGTGCATCTTTTTCTTTTCTGACTTGTTTTTTGGTACAACTTTTATGGCGCATCAGTACTCCCACTGTCCCAGAGGCAAAAAGGGCAGCTTGGTCATTCAAGGAACACATTGTAATTAATACTGCACAATCATACACCCAGGATTTGAGGCAATAGATGAGAAAATCTTAATTGCAGCAACTACTCCGGTATTTGTTTGCAAGACCAAGACATGTTTGAGGCTACTTAAATCATTATGGACTTGTGTTGGGAGCTAAATCAGCTGAAAGAAAAAGCAAATCCTTTCAGTTTTAGTTATTTGATGTGAAATGAGAATGAAAAAAGAGTCTCCCAGCGTGAGAAAATGAAGTATGAGGAAGACCAGTTTGACACATACCAAACTTTGGAAACCAATTGCCCTCCCTTATAGAGCTCTCTTTCACCGTTGCCGCCAAAGGCAGCCCCGTTTCAAACCTCAAAGGGGGAAATGTTATCATCTTTGTGGAGTAATGTTAATGACACAGACTTTAAAAAAGAAAAAGGCTTTGAGGGATTTGGAGGCAACAACGTGATCTTGCACAGTCCTGCCTCTGCACAGATTCCCCTCCCTCCAATCCCCATCATCCCTCCCACAAGCCCTTCTGGCCTTTTGTATCTCTATATATATATATATATATTCATTAAAATGGGTCAGATCCATCGTGTAGACTAGTTTAACCTATGTATTTATTAATTAGACTACCTATTAGCTTCAGTAATTCACGAATTAACCCGTTTGACACACACACACGCTCTATAGCTGATACTGTCCTTATCTTTGGCATACGAGTAGAAGATTTTTAAGGGGCAGGCAGAGTGCGTGGATGTGTATCAGAAGAGAATACAGAGTGGACAAATGGTACAGTATGGTACGAATGTAAGGAGGGCGCATGTGAGCTATTAGAGGTCACATCACCGTATCAAATATGGCTCTCAGCCCCATCTCTTGTTTTTGGAATTTTCTGCACTTTCATCTCCACCACCTTTCTCTGCATCTGCAAAAGCACATCATCATCCACCCTTCTTCCCCCTCTGCTACAAAACGACAACACCCCCCTCCTCCCAACCCACCTAACTAAAAACTCATTTTCAGTTCATTTACACCACCTGCCTAGCCCTGTTGCTTCAACTTCTTTCCCCCTCTTTGTAGGACCCATCCCTTTGGTTTCCACTTCCCTCACAAACTAGATGGGCCTCTGCTTATTTTTGAACTGGTTACCACTATATACCCCCGGTCCTTTCATCTCTTTCCTTATAAAAAGATGTTTTCGACACCATGGCAGGATCTGGCCAGGGAGGGGCACAGATTAGGGTGGCTTGGCTTCATTCCCTATCTTCAAAATTAAGCTAGTCAATTTACCAAAAGGATTCAAGCCCCTTCAATTTCTGTTCCTTCAAAACAAGACAAGTTTATTGAGACCACAAGACTATACTAATCCAGTGAAAGTCTATACATACTTGAGCAGTTTTCTTCATTCTCTGCAGGATTAGTTGCATATAACAATTGAAGAGACACACATATGTGGGCACAAATCAAATGTAAACGATAAATACTATTTATTTTGACCTGATACGTTTCTCCAGCAGTACTGATCAGTTCTGAGTCCCAATGAGCATACAGTGCCTTAATCTTTTCCAGAGAAGTCACTGAGGCCAAGTCAAAAATACATCTGACCGACTTTCCCCTATGAAGCCAGAAAAGCCAATATGCTTTTGGACTATCTCTGACGACACCATATCATCATTATGATCAGATGATTGCCCTGCAAAATGCCAACCACAAACTTCGATCTATCTTTCTATCTGAAACGCTCATCCGTCGCTTCTCCAGGTGGCTACCACTACGCCTTTTTCTTTGAATAACACAGCTCAGGAGTACAGTTAGCAATGCAAAGGCAGTCAACGGATACTGCAGAAACTACCAAGTTTTTTCTTTCAATAACACAACTCACGCTACAGTAGTGATGCAAAATGTAGGTAGCAAATACTGCAGCAGCATGCTAGCTACTTCTAAATCACCATAGATTCTCAAGATAGTGTGCGAGAGCTTAATTATACGTACGATTATATACTTCAGTCTCTTCGTAGAACAATTTTAAGTTTAAAATTCTTCAAATGGGAACTTTCTAAATGCATTCAAATCTCATTTCTGTGTGTGAGTGAGTTTCTGCTACCATCCCCTGATTAATGAGGGCGCAAGGCTCCTCGATCATCTTCCTCTATTTTCTGTGCGCCAAAGGAAAACACAACCGAAGCTCAGGTATGCTTCATTAAAATTATGCAGGCGGGAAAAAAAACCTGTATCTGCTATGTTTATACTTTCTCAACTCAAACAAATAACTAACTCACTAATATTAAAAATAATTAAAATTAATTAGTCTTGTTAAATTTTTCACAATTAAAAATCATTTCTTAAAAACCATTTTGCATTTATTATTAATTATTAATGATAGATAATCAAAACTCCTAGTTAATGACGGCACAAGTGGAAATAGAATAAGAAATTACTTGAGACACAAGGTGTAATTCTTTTTCTCATTATAATAATTTTTATAATTTTATAGTAGAATGCTCAAGGAGGGCAAAAGCAAAACCGCGAAGACAAAACAATACGACATCGTTCTGATCATCCGGTTTAATCCTGATTTCCGATTTCCATTCGCAGAATTCGTGCATCGTTTGCTTCCTCCCTCTACGTTCCCAGCGAAGCGACTGTCCCTTCCGTCGTTCCCTCCCTCCGGCCAACAGCCACTCCACTCCTGCTGGTTGCAGCGTCTTCAAGGTTGCCGCACTTGGTCGAGTCCGCCGTTGGACGCCTTCCGCCGTTGTAAGCCTTGCGTGGGTATTTTCCGGCAAGTGTTGAAGAAGGCCCAAACCCTAGGGTTTTATCTTCTCGCAAAACTGGTGAGATTGATTTGCTAAATCCGGCTTTGAATCTAGATTTGAATTTTTCCCGATGTCATCCGTTCCCTGCATTGTTATCAACCCTGTGTCAGACGCCGTCGCATCGTTTCTTGCTTTGCGCTAAATTTTCCATTTCAATTTGGCTTTGAATCTGATCATGCAATCATTTGAGTATTGACGCTTTTGTATCTGGGAATAATGACGCTTTTGAAGCTGGGAATATTTACAGATTGAGTTTAAATTTTCTTAACTTCGATTACTAGTTTTTGCTTGAATGGTAGGTAATATATTCTGCCCTCCTCATTTTTTATTTCTAGCGACTTATATACTTTTGTATTGTATTGTTGTGCGATGTGCGATGTGCGATGTGCGATTAATGGATTTATTATGTATTGACATTCTGTTTATTGATCTCTCTCTCTTCCCCCCTCTCTGTTTATTCTAGTAACAAGCTTCATGTTATTAATAAACATAGAAGTTACGAACTAGAAACTGCTTCAACAGACTTAAAACATCATCTGCAAGTGTTCTTAACATCATCCGGACATAAAATTTGATCAGAAAGGATGCCAATATGTGTAGCTTTTCTCAATCCAATCTGAATTGCATGCAAGCAGGGATCCCCTATCACATCTTGATCAAGGACTAGAATAGTACTCCGCCTCCTGACCTGCAACGATGTCAAGAGGAGGCCACTAGATTGGTCCTTCCTGTTCTTCCATGCATTAAGCTGCCTCCCATCAAAGTATAGGGTCATCAATGATTGCCCGATCAGTTGTCTTGAGTCTACTGCCTTCTTCTGGATTGAAATTTTAATGGCCCATCAAAGCATAGACTCATTCATATTCGAACCTCTAGCCCGAACCATGGAAGGAGATTCTTTATTAATCTCTTTATATTATCATCAATTTAGAAAATTCTCAAGGTATTTGTGTACTGTCAAAATTTGGATATCCTCCCATTGCCATTCCCAGTTTACACTCTTTAGCCTGTTTGATCTTGATTTTTCTCTCTCTCCCTCTCCTGGGTATTCTATCTCCTTTTGAGTGAAATAAACTGAATTCTATTTTTAAGTCACTTGACACTGCATATATTTAAGTAGGACAAAATGATCAAATGGCTTGCAGTTAAATTTATTAATGATTCCATTTCAGTTCAACTGCTTCATTTATGAACCGAGATAACAGTGCCTTGGAATTTTTATGGACCCGTCTATAGTAAAGCTCCTTGAAGATGATGAGGTTTACTTCTCTCTTTTCTTTATCTTATTTCCATAAAAAATATCTTTCATAAATTATGGCATAGGGTTCTCTAGTTTAAATTTGCCACTGCTTTGGGATGTCTACAGGATGAAACAATGCATTCAGGGGCAGACGTGGAAGCTTTTCAGGCCGCCTTAAATAGAGACATAGGAGGAGACATGTCTACTTCTCAGCCTTCTGGTTCAGACACAGGCATGCATTACTTTGATTCATTATGTTCTGAATTTCACCTCCAGTAATTTTTGTTAAAATGTTTAATGCTTTTTTTTTTTTTGGGTTGATATTATTGGTCAGCTTGTCTGTGAGTCTCTTGTATGTAAACAATAGAAATGGGAAAAACCGAACTTGTTGATTGATTTTGAAACATCAACGTATCTTTGTTTCTATTAGCAAGTTCAATGAGCATGGCTTGATTTTTTGGAAATGCAATTTGAAAAATTACAATTTCAGGAGGTCTTGGAGTAGGAGGTGCCTTATCAATATATGAATTTATTTATCAACGGTGGCATTCCTTTTTATAATGAACCATTAGTGGTCTTTCTTTGGAATTATTTATTGCAAATATCATTTTCAGTCTGGAAGGGAGACTTTGTATTGGCTCATGAATGCTAATATATTCTGGACTGTAGTTTGATATACCAGCAGAGTGTCAGGAATCAAGGAAAAGTATTTTCTGGAAAATTATCATGCTAATTGCTGTTAATCTACACGATTTTAATATTTGCTTCGTACATTCTTACTCTCACATCTCATATACTACTATAATTGCTACAGCTTTGTCACAAGGAGACAGTAATACATTCAGTCAGTCATTATCACAGTGGCCTACCTCTAGCCATGATAATAAAACTGATCCTCAAACTCAACAAGATCCTAAAATTGCACAGCAGCAGCAATCTTCATCTGAGATGGAAATTAAACACAGTGGCCAACTGCAGAATGTTTCTTCTCAGGATGTTAATCATCCACCCTTGCCTCAGAAACAATCTCAAGATGAAGGTCACCAAGGGCAGACTGTACAAAGTTCCCTCCAAAACCCTCAAAAAACTGGGATCCAGAATCCTGGGAAAGATCCGGTTCTTAATAATGAGCCAGTCAAAACACATAATCCTAGCAATGAATCTCAATATATCAAGTTGCAGCAGATGAGTAATCAACAGGCGACAGTCACTGAGCAGCCAAGCAGCCAAATAAATCGTAGTAAACAAGTTCCATTTGGCCTATTGCTACCTATCTTGCTTCCACAGCTTCCCAAAGACAGAGCCATGCAACTCCAAACTTTGTTTGCCAAATTGAAGGTATTTCAATTCAATTTTATCTTTATCTTTATTTTTATTTTTTAGTGGAATGGGCCACAACTGATTCGTGAATGGATTCTGCTGTTTTTATAGAAAGATGAAATTCCAAAGGATAATTTTGTGAGGCTTATGAAAAGTATTGTAGGTGATCAGATGCTCAGAATGGCATTAGCGAAAGTGCAATCACAGGTATGCAGAGAGCATGGTATATGTTGTGCCTTATTTTATATTTTTTTCAAGCCAATGTGTATTCAATCAACGTCATGCTTAGAACATTGCTTTTCTAATGTTTTAGACAAGATCCAACCAAGGACCTGTGGGGCAGCAGCACCCTATCAGGATGCCTCCAGTTAGTTCAGGGGCAACACAATTTAATGACCCCCATGCATTAGCACAACTGCATCATAGAAGTGTGAACAGTCCTGCAAATCAATCTCATATTAATTCTTCAACCGTTCATTTGAAGACTGAATCAGTTCATCCAACTATGGAGAATAGTATGAAAAAATCTCAGGAATTGGATGTTAAAATAGAACCCCAAGCAGTGCAATCAAGTCCGTTACCAACTTCCGGTTCCAACTTTGGTAGCCAAGAATCAGAAAGGTCCTCCATGCATATACAAGGGCTTACTAAGCAGCAGCAGCAACATCTGCATTTTTCATCAGCACATGGAAATACTGGTTCTAATTTTAATTCTTATTCTGGGACAAGCAGTAGTCCCACATCTCTGAAAGCCCCGCCACATGATTCCCATTTGAGGCAAATTCCTCATCAAAACATTGCTCCAAATCACTTAGGGGGGCCAACACAGGGTATGAATCTGATTGGCATGACAAAACTTGATAGACAAAATTCTATCAATGATCCAAAGAGACTACAGGGAGGATCTGCTCCTCATGTTGTAAATAATGCAGGATCACAACAAACATCCAATGTTTGGCAACCTTCGAATGTTAAAAGGGAACCCAGTGAACTGTCTGCTGAGCAGCAACAGAGGCATCATTTGTCTAAATTTCATGGGCTTTCGGTTGGCACTGCTCAGATTGAACAGGGAAGTGGAAATCAAGGAACTTCAAAGGATGAGTTTTCAAGAGGTCTTCCAGCATCTGCAAATGTGCCACCTACAACTACTTCAAGTTTGTTGCATTCCAATTCTGCTCCCCCTTCAATGGTTGCTCAGATGGAACCAGGTGTCCCGGTAACCTCATTGGCATTATATGTGTTTTTATGCGTTATTGTATACGATGTCCTGATGCATGAATTTTTTTTCTTACATGATACTTTTGGGTTTGATGTTTCTGTCAGACTTTTGCCTGCATACATTTTGCAATTTGCATATTGCACGCATCTCATAATATTGTCCTAAAAATAGCTAAAATATGGATTTGCATCACGTTTGATTGTATTTTAGTTTTGGGGTGCAATGGAAATTAAATGTAAAGATATGAATGCTCACCGGGAGTAAGGTTTCACAAATAGAAATGATGTCTTTTGAACTGTTTCGGTGTTTCAAACATTGGCGCACAATGTTCTAGTTTACTTGAGAATCTTCATTCTTTCTTTTTTCTTGATTTTTCTTCAGTCGCCATCAATCTGGTATCATTAATCTTGCTGGCACCATATCAGCCACAAGTGTCCATCAATTTGACTCATATTACACCTATCCGTTGGATAGTGGTCATGACTTAACATACAGGCATAAAACTTAGGTTTTACACCCATTCTCAATCCAACGAAGAAACCTTACTCAAGCCTTTTTAATACTAGGTCTCCTGCTCTGCAAAATTTTATCTGTGGTTAGGAACAATCAAACTTTTGTATGTAATCTGTCTTTTTCTTGTAATGTTGTAATGGGCAATGGATGTTTTTCAATTGATGTCGGTTAATGGAGTAGCTGTGAGTCTTTGACTTAAAGATGTATTACAGGTTGCTACCTAGAATAACAATGCATGCAGTTGTTTCTTTTCATGTATCTTTAGGCTTCTGCTTTTTCAAGCATTACCATCTTACAATATAATATACTAAAGGAAATGGCATTTTGTGTACAGAGCACTTCTCATAATATATATTGATCCTTTATGCTTAATGATGCCTATTTATGTGTTCGTTTTGTATTTTGTCAGTCAAGCTCTCAGATTCCCTCAAACCCTTCTGGGATTATTGCAAGGGGTCCTCTGAAGAAGCCTACTGTTGGCCAGAAGAAACCACTTGAAGGACTTGGTTCCTCACCTCCTCCTCCAAGGTCATTTGTCTTATTCTAATGAACCATGATTGACTAGCTTTTGGACTAGTTTATTTTACTCTTGACACAATCTACCCATTATCCTACAGTAAGAAACAGAAAGTATCTGGGGCTTCTCTGGAACAAAGCATTGAACAGCTTAATGATGTTACGGCTGTTAGTGGAGTTGATCTTAGGGTATGGTACTTAGTCATTGATCTTGGGCGAATAATTCTAGATTAGGGATTGTTTTTCTTCTATTGTTAAAGCTCTACTGTTCCTATATTTTTCTGTTTTACAGGAGGAGGAGGAACAGTTATTTTCAGGGTCAAAAGAGGACAGTCGAATTTCAGAAGCATCTCGAAGAGCTGTGCAAGAAGAAGAAGACAGACTTATTTTGCAGAAAGCTCCATTGCAGAGCAAATTGATGGATATTAGTTAGTCTTTTTATTGTTTAATGTTGTCCATAAGTTTAAGATTCTTTGTGTATATATGTAGCCTTATGCTTCTTTTTGTTGTCACTGTGGCAGTGGTCAAATGTGGTTTGAAGGGTGTGAGCAATGATGTAGAGAAATGCTTGTCTCTGGTGAGATAAGATCAGATTTTCAATTAACGTTGTGGTAGTTTTGCATGTAAACTCATGACTGATAGTAAATGTTCAGTGTGTGGAGGAAAGAATGCGTGGATTGATAAGTAGCCTGATCAGACTTTCAAAACAGGTCAGTTGTCTCGTTACTGCCTGCATGAACTGTCTTTCATCAATATGAGCAGTTTCTTATGCTCAATCAACTTCCCATCAGCGAGTGGATTTTGAGAAGACCAGGCACCGGGTTATTGTCACCTCAGATGTTCGGCAACAAATCATGTCAATAAATAAGAAAGCAAGGGAAGAATGGGAGAAGAAACAGGCAGAAGCAGAGAAGATTCGTAAACTTAATGAAGTGAGTTCCACCTGTTGAAGACATTTTTGTCTCGTTTAAGTAGCTTCTTCAAGACGGCTCACACTGACATGATAGTAGATGTATCCATGAATTTTTCCCATAACATGCTAATGTTTCGAATGAGGTATCTGCATCTGAAACATGTTTTCTTGTCAATTAAATTTTGTACAGGCAGAGAGTAATCCTGGGGTTGATGGGGACAAGGATAAGGATGAAAGTCGTAATAAATCAACAAAGGTATTCATACCTCTTTGTTTTGTATTATATTATTCCATAGACCGTAGAAGAAATCTTTTGCTTTATTTATGGCACGTTGTAGGTAAATAAAGAAGAGGATGACAAGATGAGGACAAATGCTGCAAATGTTGCTGCTCGAGCTGCTGTTGGGGGAGATGACATGCTGTCAAAATGGCAACTCATGGCGGAGCAAGCTCGTCAAAAACGTGAAGGTGTGGCAGATGGATCATCTAGTTCTCAACCTGCTAAGGATGTGAGTCGCAAGTCTCCATCTTCATCTGGAAGAAGTACAAAGGATAATCCAGATGGGGAGAAAAGAGTTTCGGCATCTTTTGCAACTTCTGGTAGGTTCCATTCAAACTGATTATTCGGTCATGTGTGCCACTTCCTCTATTTTTTAGTCAAATGACAAAGTAATACTAAGTTATCAACATGTAAAATGTGGTCCTAATCTCTCCAATACAATTGGTCTCTCGTTGTTAGGTTCGCATAAGCATGTACAGCTGCTCTCTGATTTAGATGTCGTGCTATTTCTTAACTGCTGTTCTACTTGAATGCTGTTGTTCTAACAGGAATCGCTCAAAAACCTGGGAGAAATCAGGCCATTGCACCTCAAACTCGGGTAATTCGTAGCATCTCTGTTAAAGATGTGATTGCAGCCCTGGAAAGGGAACCGCAGATGTCCAAGTCACCACTAATATATAGCTTGTATGAGAGAATTCATTCCGATGACCTGGCTGAATAAGATGAAGGTTTTGCAGATTTTGGCCTTGCTAATTCATTGCATAATCTAGAATCGAAGTTCTGCTCCAGTCGGGCTGATTTTAGCCGTTCGGCTGGCCTGCTGCCATTGGGTTAGGTCTTCGGCCTCTTGAAGTTAATAGCAAACCTGACGTGGGAAATTAATTCAATTAAAGTTAAATTTTTGTAGAAATGGTGACAAGTTTGCCTAGCTCTCTGTCCATATACATGCCGACTTTGTAGCCAAGTTCGCCATTTTGAGCTTGAAATATTTTGACCAGACATTGGGTTTGAGCGATGTTTGATCCATTTGCTAACCAATAACACCGCATATGCATTGAAATTGAGGTTGCGTTCAGTCTGGCGGTTGGAATGATGAAAAAAAGGATCACATAAAGTGGTAGAACTGTTGAAAAAAAGTACTTGAGCGAGTCGTGTTATTTATCTGCAACGCTAACCAATTAATTACAGACACACGGCAAGCATGCGAATGGTTGACAAGTTTTCCGAAAAGGTGCTTCGCCGCAAGGTCGTGTTTTCAGTGAAAAGTTGACCTAATTTGACGTTGAAAGATGAAATGCCCAGACGGCCTCCTAAACATTGGAGATAATATAACGATAGTACTAGGGCAGTTTGTTTTAGCTATTTTTGAAAAATTTAAGAATCACCTTGTCGATAAAAAAAGAGAAATTCCAAATAGAGACCCCTAATATATAAAATTGCGATTAGGGATCTTGAATTTAGAAAATAGCTTTAGTGCAAATATGAAATATATGTTAAATGTCTGAAATGCCCCTCATTTATTTGGGGGAAAAAAAAAAAAACTTGTCCGCGCTCTTTCTCCCAACTTGCAATAACTTCCCTCTCTCTGCTTTGTCTAGTCTCTCCATTCTCTGCACTCTGTCTATTTTCACACAGGAGGTTGCTTCCATTTTCTAGTAACAGTATCGGCGAGAGGAGTATTATGTGAGAGAAGATTGTATTTGCTATGGGAGAGGCGAACGGAGCAATGATTGAGTAGTGATCTGTCGGCATTGTTGAAGGTAGGGGAGGAGGTAGAGGCATTGTCATAGTCGTGTGCGGTTATCAGAGTTAATGGCATTCGGCGACAAAATTTGGTGGTAAGTTTGAAGCTTTGGTTTGTTTGTGTTGGTTGTTGCATGTTGATACATTAAGAAGAGGGAATGCGTTTAGGGCAGGAAAGTATATATATATGTTTTTCTGTCAAATAAGTTGTGATTGATTGGCAAAAAATGCTTATTTGTGGAGGAAGATGTGCAAATGGGTTTGGGTGGGAAGGGAATGAGAAGATGAGTTAGGAGGATGACAAGATTAGTTTAGGAAATGACGACACGGGAATGGATAAAGTGAAGATTGAATTGGTTAAGTGTAAATTGATTTGAAGATACGTTAAAGTGTTTGTCTTCTGGTTTAAAATGACAATATGGAAGTAGGGGGATTGACAAGTTGATAATGTAAATAACAATTGTGTAATTGACGAATTGGTAATAGGAAATAACAAGTTTAATATAGTGAATAACAAGTTATTGAGTAGTTGGGAATAAGAAGGTTGTCATGGGGTCCTAACAAGTTAACAATAGGAAATGACAAGTTTAAAAATGACAATAACAAGTTGGGAATAACAAAGACGAGTATGACAATTGAAAAACTTTATAATCTGAAATAACTAGTTGATAATTGTAAATGACAAGTTAATGATTAGAAATAACAAGCATGACAAGTAGTTGAGAATAACAAATTTAGTTTGAGAAATTAACAACTTGCTTATATGAAATTACAAGTTCATGTTTCGAAATAAGAAGTCAATAGTGATGATGTAAGAAGGTTGTTGGTTGAAGAATAAATTGTCAACAAGGGTGATAGTTAGTCAGTAAATGTGGTTGTGAAGGATTGTATGTTGAATATTTTGCAGGAAAAAGAAAATGGCATTAGAAGGAGCCTCTAGATCGAGAAAGGCACACAATGGTTGGTTATTATTCAAAAGTGAGTTTATGACCACAATAGCGAACCTTAACATGACAGCCAAACAAAAAAAAAGATGCTACGTCAAGTGCATGGAAAGCTCTGTCCGCTAAAGAGAAGATGAAGTACACTGAGGAGGTGAAGAAAACAAGGCCACAAAAGGAAGAAGAGGAGAAAAAGAAACATGTTCTATCATTTCTAACCCGAGTGTCCTTGAAGGGTTTAAGAAAATTACTGCACTTTGTGAATAATAATGAAGACTTAAGGGAGAGGGTTGAGAGGATAGGCTTTGGGAGGCTGTTGAAGGTTGGATTAAAGAGACTATCCCGTGATCTCATTGTGACAATATTGGGATCATATGACTCACCAACACATCAATTTACAATCAGGGGCAAATCAGAGAAAATAGGAGTATAAGATGTTGAGTAGCTCTTAGGAATCCATCACGGTATGGAGGAGGTGAAAACTGAAGTTGATGATGGTGATGCTATGTACAAGGAGTTGAGAAATGAATATCGGAAAGTGTCATTCAGCAAAACACTAAAAGATATTGTTTCAGGGGAGGAGGATGATAGATTTGTGCTATACACACTGGGTACTCTGCTATGTCCAAAATCAAGCTCAGAAGTGAGTGAGAAGTTGATCAGAGTCACAAATTGCATATTGGATGAATTTGGAAAGTATGATTGGGCTACCTATATTATAAAGGACCTCTAGAAAGAAATGGGAGACTATGTCAAAGCGTATAGGTAGGGCAATGAAAGGCAAGGGAGCAACACTGTTGATGGCTGCATATACTTGGTTCTGGTACGACTATTTTGTTTCTGATTCTGTTTGCATTTGATTATTGATGTGCATAACATTAATGTTGTATATATGTGGCTGGCTTGTAGTTTTTTTTGTGAGCATTTTAACCTCAACACACCCATTGGCCGAGAGTCCACTACTGCAATTGAATACTAAACTGATGAGAAGATAAAAGAATTGGCCAGTAAGGAGGAGAAGAGTGTTAGGAGAATTATGTACAGAGAAAAAGATAGTAAAGTTGTAAAGGGAAAACAAGAAAGGATAATTATAGAGTTTTTGGACCTGGTATGTGATATAATTGGTAAGCTGAAGTTTTTACTCAGTAACCTGAACTTCTTATTTGCCATAGTTATGTTGTCATTTTCTAAACTGAAGTTGTGATTCGCTATAGTAAAATAGAACTTTGTCATTGTTAAGCCGTAATTTGGCAAACTTAAGTTGTTATTCGTTAAACTTATGTTGTGATTCGCCATATTGAACTTGTCATTCGGTATATTGAAATTGTGAACCTGTCATTTGCCATAGTGAACCTACCAGTTGCCATACCTGTTGTAATTTGGTTTACTGAACTTGTCATTTGCCAAAGTGAACTAGTCATTTCCCATAGTGAACTTGTCATTTGGCATACCTGAGTTGTGATTTTGTATACTAAATGTCACTCCCTATAGTGAATTTGTCATCTGTCATATGTAAGTTGTGATTTGGTTTACTGAAATTTTCGTTCCATATAATGAACTTGTCATTTGCCATAGTAAACCTGTCATTTGCCATACCTCACTTGTTATTTGGTTAACAGAAGTTGTCATTCGCTATAGTCAACTTGTCATTTGGCATACCTGAGTTGTGATTTCGTATACTGAAGGTGTCATCTCCTATAATGAACTTGTCATCTCTTATATTGAACTTATTATTCTATATACTTAATTGATAAATATCTTTTGCATGCAGGAGCTGAAGAAGTTACGCGAGTGCCTAATGAAGAGGATAGAGGAAGGGCAAAAGATGCTGATGAGAATGGTAGATGAGAAGCTGGTAAAGGTATAGATCCCAAAATAGGGAGATGGTGGGAAGGGTAAGTCAAGAGGAAAGGCTCAAGTTGAGATAGTGCTTACAAATATTAGTGAGTCTAAAGATGATGAGAAGGATAAGCGCAACAGTGATGACACAATTGAAGAAAAGGAGAAGGATGAAGGAGGTAGTGAAAATGAAGATAATCATGGGAAAGATGACAGGGAGGGTGACAAGGAGAATCATAGCAAGAATGAAGGGAAGGGCGAAGAGGGTCAAGGGGATGGTGATGACATGAGTGAAGGGGACAGGAAACACAAGGGTGATGGAGAGGGTGATGTATAAGCAAATATATGTAATAGAGAGTACAATACCCACAACTATTTTCCCCATGAAAATGCCATTCAATGTTGAAGATTATGATGGGGTGGGTGACATACCTGCAACCAGTTCCCTTAGAGAAGTGTCACCCAGCATTGAAGGTGATGATGCAAAGGGTGACATATTGATGGAGGTATTCCCCCGGCCATTGTTGAATATGTTGAGCCTGATCCAAAACCTGTATCTGTGGGGCCACAACAACTAAGGAGATCTAGTAGGGTTCAGTTCAGCAAGATCAAGTCTCCTTAGTTGGAGTTGAAGGCACAAGCAAGAGTGAAGAGGCCTATGGAGCCCAAGGATATTTTTTTCACCTTAGTCAGTCAAACTGTCAAAAGTGATGAGGGCGAGATGTAAGTGAAAATCCTAGCTTATGTGATGTTATTTATTGACTACATGTTAACATAACACATCTGGTAACTCATGTGAATAAGTTTCAGTCCTTTAATTAGAATGTTTGATAAAGACATCCCTTGATGATTGCTACATTCGCTTGGTGAAAATAATAGGGTGAGTAATCGAGTGATGTCATTGGTCTGTAAGGCTTTGTTGCAAGAGCAACAGGCAATTGAAGGACGCGTTAGGAGGCATATATTTGATGTAGACTTCATGGTGAGGTTTTTGTATTACTAATATACTTTGTTGATTTACAAGTTTGCAATGGAAATGACAGACCAAAGTGTGTTACAGTGAATAACAACTTCGTTTTGTGCATTTGACAAGCCATAATGATCCGTGATCCAGCTCGTTAGGATCCTAACCAGCATACACGACAAATACTTTTGCATTACGTTGGCTACAATATAGGTGACTGCGACTTGGTTCTGGGTCCTGGTCTAGTTGGGGAGCATTGGTTCTGCTTTGCTTTCAAACCGAAGACCCAGAAATTCAATGTCCTTGATTCTGTGCAAGCAAGTTTAGAGCGTAAGAAAACCACCTTCAAGCAGAAGAAGGCAGCCATACATGACCCTCAAGAATTGGCCATCACAGGCTGTGTAAGATGCTCTTGACCTGTTCATGTTAGATAGGAAAATGACAGTTTTATATTATTATCCTTTTGATGAATATGACATATGTGCAGAGGGATTGATTCGAAGACGTACTTCGGATGGTTAGACCAGATTTGATT